TAAGGCGATGGTACAGAAAATATAATATATCTATTACATGGGTGAAGCGCGACTTTTTCAATGGTACTCTCAATCGATCGGTGTAAACCGATTACATGTTCGTTGTCTTCCGAATAAATGTTAATGAGACAAAAGAGAGGATGGATATATCCTTCTAGATCTATTGCAATTTCGTCAATAAATAGGACCAGACATTCTTTCAAATGTGGCACACATAAAATAGCAGGTAATACAAAAATCTAACTTATGACATGATAAATATAGACTGTAGACAGAAATAAAAATTCCGTTATTTGTGAATTGCACGTTACTCATTTTTTTTGCATGCTACTCGCATTTTCTGCTTGCCTTGCAACCGCTAAAGTTCAAAGAATTGTTCGCTCAAGTAGTCTCCAATAAAATCCACCTGCAAAAAAACTCATAAGCATTTAGCAGCTGAGTATTCCTTTTTTTTCTTAATTCACTTCGTACCTAATCACTATATTCTCTATTGGCCATCATTTCTTCAGTCTCTGATAATGACTAAATCAAGAGACAAATGATGAAGATTCGACGATATTGAAGAACAAATCATCTTAAATTAGTTACAACATTTAAGCATCACTACGCGATCATGGACAAGAGTTAAACAACTAATATTTGAATCAATAAAGAAAGTCCTATCATTTCGTCTCGTTTTTACGTTGAGAAAGAAATCGTTACAAATAAATAACACTTTCGATTTCTTAGATTATTCTGTGTTAAGACGAGCCAAAAATGTTATTACACATTTTAATCAAGATTAGCAAAGATTAAATAAAAATCATCTGTCAAAATGGATCTTGCACATACATACATAAAAATTACAAAGAAAGATACTAGATGTTAAAAATTAGTTTCAAATAATTTTTACTTTGTGTTAGAGAAAGTACATGGAAAACAAGAAAATTAAATAGAAAATCTCATATTACCTCATATTTCTAAGTTTTTCTGCTTTTTCTTTTCAGACTATTTATTTTAAACAATTAATATTCCCTATTTCATAATGGGAACCGTACAATATTTCAATATATTTCAATATAATTCGTGATTTCGATACTACTGTGAAAAGAGAATTTCTATCAAATTTCTTTTTCTTATAATTA